ATTCCTTTGATCCCAAAACGGATTAGGAGTTAAAAACAAACGATTGGTCTCTATAGAGTTACCTCGTTTTTCCATCATCTTCCTAAAAAGACGAACAGGACATATGGTTGGATTATTTATGTTTGTGATTAGCCACTTGCTATCAGCTAACTTTCTTGAACCGCCTTGTGTTGTCTTCGAAAAAATGGGATTATACTCTATGCGACCAGTAAATTTGCCGAAATTATCAGTTTCTTCAACAAAGTATTCAATATTTGCTACTGCACCTTCTCCGCCCCTCCAGGCTAACTCATGGGAAGCAATATGAAAAAACTTTCGCTGAAGACCTTCTGGACAATCTTCATCCCAGAGTTCTACAATCTTCATATATTCAGCATCACTTAAGGCCAAGGCACTAAGCTTTCGTTTTGTTGGATCTTTTTGTAGTTTTCTACGTTTAGCATCACGTGCTGCTCTTGCATTTTTAAAGGTTATGTCAGAAAATGGATCAAATTTAACTTTAAATTCTTCGTAATACATCTCCTGTAGTTGTTTGGCAGTTGAATTCCACATTACTTTTACAACACTTTCTTTGTACTCCTCTGAATTTTTTTTTCTCATATTAAATGAATAATCTTCTAGAATACTTGCCAGTTCTTCAACAGGTAGCTTTTCCTGTATATTATAAGATTTTTCATTGCAAAATTCTAGAAACTGCTTCCAAATGCTTATCTTTGATTTTTTGGTATTATCTGGCATCAGATGTTGAATTTCTTTTTTTATTATGTCCTGGTTTTCTTCTCCAAAACGAGACATTTTTCGTAAAAAAACACTAAACTTTTCACTTTGACACCGTGCATATAAAATGACATTTGTTATCCTTTTTGAATTAACATACAAAGCCTACTGTCTCTTCAAAACAATCAAAAAATTTTAATATCTTTATATTTTTGTCGATATTTTTTAACACTTCATTGTGAAATTTTCTTACCGAATACCACTCTAGCTTCAATTAAAAACTGGAAATTTTTTCTTGGACACGAATATTTTTTAGAAAATTCGTGTGGCCGAAAAAATTTCCAGTAATAATTGAAGCTCTAGTGGTATTATAAGTGAGAATTTACATATGGCGTGGTCAATCAATTGTTATAAACAAAAAAGTTGTAAAAAAATTACTCTCCGAATGGCTTTGAAAATATTTGTAAAATGGACCAAAATAAACACATTTTGTTCTTTGACAAAAATTCGAAAAATGCTTCGTTTCCAAGATATTTACAATTTAATGTGAAAAAAGCGACGAAATCGACAAGTTTTCGGAATTTTTTTTCTCAAAAACTACTGAACAGTTTAATTCTAAAAAAAGCATAATAATCGGCAGATCTACTTTAAGATATATTTTTTTGGTATAGGTCAATTATTTTATTGAAGATCTAAAGCGAGTAAAAAACAGTCTTTTAAAGAAAATCATGATTAACATACGCATCAAGATGTCGACGTCACTTCACTTCAAACACTTCAAATTTAAATTTTCTTTTTACAATATCTTGGACTAGATTATATTTACAGTAAACATAATGTTATTATGATATTTTTAATCGATATATAACAATAACATTTAATGATTCAATCGGCTAATGCGGAAATAATAATTAATAAATAAATAATTTTTCCTACATTTATAATAATTAAATATAATTTTTGCAATTATCTTCATGCTTTTTTAATGCAAAAATTATTATTTATGATTTGAATTATATTACTATTAATGTTACAATATTTTAAACAATTATACTATTTGATTATACTAAAAAAAATAATTAAACTCTAGCCTGTTCGTCAAGTATAAAATAAAAGTTTTTTCGAAATAAGCGCATTACTTTTTTGTTCTTAATCATAACCTCTTATTGCGCTTGATAATAGCAGAAAGCTTTGCTCGATATCCAAACGCATGTACGCTTATACTAATTACTTGCAAAAACCTTACTCCGGCTACAAAACCAAACAAAATGATCTTTTGAACATTTGTACTGTTAACATATATCGATTAAAAAAATCATAATAATGTTTATTGTAAATATAATCAAGTTTTTTAAAGCAGGTTTTAAAAATTATTGGAAAGACGCTTCTTTAAAAAAAAAAACAGATCGATTGGTCAAGTAGTTAGCCGATCAAAGTTAACCGTCATTTACACTAAATTTTTCGAAAAATACCTTTGGTATTCCGAGTACTTACCAGGTCTAAGTTTGCAATACTTTTCTTCATTGGAAATCTACTTTAAAACGGGTTTAAAGTTATTTATGCAAGCGAGAAAGTCAAGAAAATCGTGCAGGTGGTGGTGGTGGGGGAAGCAGAGAGCGCGGCCACTTCGGCCTGCTCGAAATTGAATCGGCGAGTTCAAAATCGCGACACGCTTAAAAATGTTTAATATCTCAGCTTCTAGAAGTCCGATCTTGACGATGTTTTTAAATCGAAAAAATCAACTCGAGACTAGTTGGGAAACTTTGTTAAAACAATGGTCAAAGTTATGGACAAGTGGTTTTTTGACTCGCGTTAAAAAACTATTATTCATAACGAAAAAAAGTTTATACAAAGAAGGTAGGTATTAAATAAATCTGTAAAATAAGACAAGTCCGATTAAATTCCGATAATTTGTTTATGCGCAAGAGCTCAAAAATGGTAGAAAATGGCAATTTTTTTCAATTGCTTATAATTAATGCACCCTTAATAAGTGGTAAAAATTTCAACCCGAAAGTTTCATTAGTTTGGCGTTGGCGGAATTTGTTGTCTAAGAAGATGCTATTTTCAATTGATTTTTCCCAAGCTCAAAGGCGTTGTAAGAGTTTCGATCATTAGTTGTTTTTGTACCTAAACATATGCATTCACTGAGAATTTAATTTTTCAAATTTATTTGTTTAAAAATGACTGAAAAAATGTTAATATTTATTCAATTTAAGATAGGTAATTATTATAAAATGAAATAGTAACGTCTATAGTTTAGTTAGTACTATTTTTCTTCGAATTAAAAAAAAATCGTTGTTCCAAGTTGATTAGAAGGTGAGACAATTTTTTTTTATTTAATCGCAGTGTCCTTAATTATTAAGAGCCGAAATTTGGAGAGAGTATACATTAAGAATTATATTTTCATGTCCTACATTAGCATTAAGATAAATTCAACTATTTAATTGCAAAAAAGAAGATAGCTGCGATGCGTCCTATTACTCGGTCTAGCGAACGAGTGGGAAGAGCGAGGCTAAATAAAAAAATTAAATCTCGGATTGAAATGATGTTAATGCTCATGAATTTTCGCGCTACCACAAATTAAAAAAAGAATCATCTCCATAGGTTCATTATTAAGGCGAGATATGGCTAATTTTTCCAGCTCCATCGATTTGAAGCCGCTCGATCATTTTCCTGCCCGCAACCAGGCGGGTAGCGCGTATGCTCCGCCTTGCTCTCCCCACGCATTCGCTAGACCAAGTAATAGAACGCATCGCCGCTATCTTCTTTTTCGCAATTAAATAGTTGGATTCACCTTACTGTTAATGTAGGACATGAAAATATAGATCTTAATGTATACTCTCTCTAAATTTCGGCTCTTTATATTAATAATTTAGGTCACTGCGATTAAATAAAAACAAAATTATCTCAGCTTCTAATCAACTTGGAGCAACGATTTTTTTTAAATTCGAAGAAAAATAGTATTAGCTAAACTATAGAGGTTACTATTTTATTTTATAATAATTACCAATATTAACATTTTAATAAATATTAACATTTTTTCCAAGGACATTTAAATAAAGGGGACTATGCATGTCACAGTCTATCTCATATGTTGGGTGAAGCTAGACAAGGGGAAAGCAGAGAGCTTTATTTTCATCCAACTGATGCGCGCGATTACATCTCCAATGTCGTACATTTTGGATGGGCCAAAATAAAATATTTTATAGTCCTAAGTCAATATATTTCAACAGCTACTCAGTATTTTTATAATAAATATATATAATATTTTTATAACTTCTTGGAATCCCAATAACTGTAACCATTTCTTTCTTGTTGCACCATCCCCAAGCATCCTAAAAACGTTCACATTTCACTTTTAGAATACTGAGGCAAATTTTCAGTGAGACATAAAAATATATTCTCAAAGGAGAACATCAAATGATTGAATGAATGCAACTTTCAGTCGATTGCATCTTCGGTATTTTTATGTATAAGTGAACCACCACCATATTTTTTCTGTTGTATTTATTCAGTGTTTATGCTCGTGCATTTAGTAAAATTGTAAATATATTTTTGAAAAGGTTTTTGTCGTAGAGGAAAATGAAAATGATGAATGATTAAAATTTGTAATGTTGGGTATAAGGGATAACATTGAAATACCTATAAATATATTAAATATAAATAATGTCTGTAACTTATTTGTGTTGCAGCATTTTCTTTTGATTTTAATGGCCAAACGTGGTTCATATTATTGTTTTCTTACTATTTCAGCAAAAATTTTAAAAAAATGCCAAGTCAGGTTTATAAAATTTTACCGTTATTCAAATAAAAGTTACCCACACGCACGGCAATGGCCACAGTTGCATATACATTCCAAAGTCACCTTTAAACACGCTTACCTGTGGAAGGATAGCTGATGTGGATGTTTATAATTTCTTACAAATTCTGCACTGTCTAACCATATTCACACTTTAAAAGTTTATCCAAAATACATGTATAAACACTAATCACGTTTCACTTACTAAAATTACAACTATTTTCTAACAAGAGACGCCATATTCTGCCAACCACGGCAGAACGAACGAGGAACACGCTACAAATTATTGCATAGTTGCCAAATCTTCAAACATGGCAAATATGAAAAATGAAAAATAGTTTAATATGTACAGAATTTAGCAATATTGTATGCATAACTTAATAATACTATCCTATAATAATAATTTTCACAATTGTGATGAAAATTGCGATAAAAATATTAAGTACATTTCCAGTATAATTATACAGCTGACAACAATAATACAATTAGACTGTGAATAGACCAGGCTTCATCTAGAAATGTAAATAAATAAGTCCCCTTTATTTAAATGTCCTTGATTTTTTCAGTCATTTTTAAACAAATTAAATTTGAAAAATTAAATTCTCAGTAAATGCATATGTCAATACAACTATTTAGGTACAAAAACAACTAATGATCGAAACTGTACAACGCCTGTGAGCTTGGGAAAAGTGAAAATAGCATCTTCTTAGATAACAAATGCCGCCAACGCCAAACCAATTAAGCTTTCGGGTTGAAATTTTTACCACTTATTAAGGGTGTAAAAAGAATTACAAGTGTCTGCGTTGAAAATTGCATTAATTATTAGCAATTAAAAAAACGGCCATTTTCGACCATTTTTGAGCTCTTGCCCATAAACAAATTATCGGAATTTAATCGGACTTTATAGGCTTATTTAATACCTACCTTTTTTGTATAAACTTTTTTTCGCTATGAATAATAGTTGCTTTTACGTGAGTCAAACAACCACTTTTCCATAACTTGTTTAAACAAAGTTTCCCAACTAGCCTCGAGTTGATTTTTTGTTATTTTGTTTATAACAGGTTTCCGAACAATATTCCCCAGATAAACTTCTAATAGTATTTTTTTCCCGAAACAGGCTGTTTCATGTCTATAATGACTGAGCTATAACTGCCAAAATCTTAGGAAAATGGAATGAACTTTACCAATGCCGCTATTTTTTACTTGAAATTGTAATAGTCTCATCTACAATTATGTAAACATCTAGGTACAACATTTTTCTTGACAAAAGTTCGCATCACCTACCTTGCCTTAAATTTATGGAGTACTTGTCCTTGCCGTCGATTATGCCCTTCTGATCCCTGCTCCTGAACTCACAATTGGCCTTAAGGACACCGATACTGTAGTCGTTCTTGATCCTGGATATGTCCAAAAAGTCCTCCCAAGGATTGAACTCGTAACCTAAATCGTGAATACTCTCCTCACTAAGCTCAACACCCAGCTGTAGGATATCGTCAACCATGGGTCTGGACCAAGTGTTGGGCTTGTGCACCAGCGACATGGTGAGGGCTATGACGGCAATGGGGGCGCTTAGGAGGAAGGGACTTACGTTGAATTTAGGATCCACCACGCTGAAGTTGCCGCGGACTATACACTTCCCTAAAAATTTTGAAAGTTGCAACCATTTCTCAGCAACACTTTTGATAAATCTTACCTGCGACGACGTTGCGGAAACCTCCAGACTCGACACTTTTTTGCTGAGGGTTAGTTCTGAGTTCCTTGGCTTCCCTAGTTCTGGGACACAGGTCTTTAGTCATGGTGATGTTGTGTATGACGAAAAAATTCTTTCCGAACGCGGGGAGGTTAGCAACGAAGACCTTGGTCATGTCCTCCAGGTCTAAGTATCTGGTGATGCAGGCGGTACCGTTAGGTGATTTTATACCGTTGGGGCCCCTATTCATACCGTCGAACATGTAGTATACCTTCTGTCCTCGCCAGATCGCAACGGTTAGGTCTAGAAGTGTGTGAAAAATTTTGACATTCAGTTGACAAAAACTCAAGGCCACTACAACTATTACGATTAACGTTACTAGGTTACTGTTTTGATGTTTGTCTTTCATGAAGCGATTTTCGTCATTATTCTATTGTTTTTTATTTAAATAACAGAGGGACTTACCTTTACATTGCATCAACCCATACTGATTTTTGGAGAAGAATTCTTCTAATGCTCTCTCCACATCCAAGACATCATCCACTTCCGAGTACACGTCACCAGTTAAATAGTCTGATTCCACGTTAATGTCGACATAAAATTTCCAAAAACAGAGCTTCCTCACGATGTCCCTCAGGTCGTATTCCTCATTTTGGACCAGCCAATCTATATCGTCCTCTTTCAACTTCGTGTCGGGGATCTTCTTGAGAAGTTTCTTTCTCATCCTCTTCATGAACGTATACAATTTGTCGCCGTAGGTGAGGATGGTGTCCACAGAGTACTTGTCGAAGCACAACATGGAGAAAACGTACGCGATAGCCACGGCTACGTAGCTGGCAGTGACCTGTTGTTTCCCGCGGTTTTCTTCGGGGAACATTTCGTTCATTAAATTCATAGACCCTGTAAGAAATTTAAGAAAATCGTACAGAAAGGCTAAAAAGGTGTCAAAAAATTGAACTGTACTATTTCGTCTGGATATTCTACAGCTAAAAGGGAAATGTTTCGTTATACAGAGAACAAGGCGCAAATGCAGAAACTTGAATTACTTTCCAAACCTTTTTATGCCCAAAAATAATTTGTATTATTTTACCTGTGCGTTTATAGTTTGATAGTATACCTTTGTAAGGCAGCTTGATCTAAATCGGTTTATTTTCATCCAATTATAATATACAGGATGTCTCACGGTGACGGCCCATTAGAATTATTTCAAAGACTACTTCGATTTGAATGTTGAAAATTTGAGATACCGGGTTTTCGGTACACCCACAGGGTGGGCCACCAGTAACGCCTCGATCGCTAGTGACCAAACGGCAAATGTTACAGGAACCTGTTTAGGTGGGTATGTATAGGTTGATTACGGCTACATTTTAAAAATATTTTGAAATATACAGGGTGTCCAGGAAAAGCGTACCATATCAAAGTTATGTTTTTTTAAATGGAACACCCTGTATTTTACTGCATTTTTGAAAGCACCGTAAAAAAATAGGTGAACTTTATTAAAGGTTCTGCATACCTAGGACTTACAGTTTGTGAGATATTTCAATTTTAGTGAAAATGCAGGCATAGCGTAGAAATTTAATATTAGCAATAAAAAAATAATTTTAAGGAAGCAGCTTTGGAGGGTCTATTTTAGATCCTTGAAGTTATAAATTGTTATATTTGTCGTCACTTAGTATTATACAGGGTGTTCAAAAAACTGCTGAATACTTCTCTCAACTTTAAACAGCAATAACTTGGTTATTTTAAATGGAACACCCAGTATATTTTTACTTTGGGAGTTGGGAAATTTAAAACTCTTTCAAACTGTGTATAGGTTCCCTATACCTATCTCTAACGGTATTGGAGATATTTGTGCCGTTTCGTTTTTTATCGATTTTTTTTGTAAGATGTATCCACGTGTCTTTATCGAGGTCTTTACTGAATTGGTTTGGGTTCTTCTTGATGACGTCTCTTTAAATATATTGAGAAAAATGAGGATGCAATTAGATGGCGCACCTGCAAATTTTTCATATTCAGTGAGAAATTATTTAAATCGAAAATTTAGTAATAAATGGATAAGTAGGAATGGTGCATGTCAGTGGCCACGTAGGTGTCCAGACCTCACCGTAATGGACTTCTTTGTTGCGAGCTATATAAAAAATCTTGTATACAATGTTCCACCTATTACTTGCGATGATATTGGAGGGAAGGATTAGAGATGCATTTGCGTGAGAATATCATTTGAAGATAGAATAAGATGCTGTATTCAGGAGAATGGTTATCAATTCGAACATCAATTAAAATTTTTCTTTGTTTTTTCTAAAAGTAAAAGTTCCTTTTATCATTATCATGAAAATATTCAAAAAAGTTTTCTAATAAAAAATATTATTTTATAAGCAGAATAATTATAAAAAGTTATTAATTTTGTATAAATATGTTTGTAGTAAGTAACTGAATTATTTATGAACATGAAAAATATTTATTAAAGAAAATTTTACTTTTAGAAGAAACAAAGAAAAATTTTAATAGATGTTCGAATTGATAACCATTCTCTTGAATACAGCATCTTATTCTATCTTCAAATGATATTCTCACATTCCTTAGAATATTTGGGGTGATTGTGGCAAATGCATATCTAATCCTTTCCTTCATATCATCGCAAGTAGTAGGTGGAACACTGTGTACAAGATATATTTTTATACAGCCCGAAACAAAGAAGTCCATTACGAGAGGTTTGGACACCTGTGGTAGCCACTGACATGAACCATTCTTACCTACTCATTTATTACTTAATTATCGATTTATATAATTTCTCACTGAATATGAAAAATGTGCAGGTGTGCCATGTATTTGCATTCACATTTTTCTCCTTATATTTACAGAGACGTCATCAAGAAGAACCCAAACCAATTCAGTAAAGACCTCGATAGAGACACGTGGATACATCTTACAAAAAAAATCGATAAAAAACGAAACGGCACAAATATCTCCAATACCGTTGGAGATAGGTATAGGAAACCTATATACAGTTTGAAAGAGTTTTAAATTTCCTAACTCTCAAAGTAAAAATATACTGGGTGTTCCATTTAAAATAACCAAGTTATTGCTGTTTAAAGTTGAGAGAAGTATTCAGCAGTTTTTTGAACACCCTGTATAATACTAAGTGACGACAAATATAACAATTTATAACTTCAAGGATCTAAAATAGACCCTCCAAAGCTGCTTCCTTAAAATTATTTTTTTATTGCTAATATTAAATTTCTACGCTATGCCTGCATTTTCACTAAAATTGAAATATCTCACAAACTGTAAGTCCTAGGTATGCAGAACCTTTAATAAAGTTCACCTATTTTTTTACGGTGCTTTCAAAAATGCAGTAAAATACAGGGTGTTCTATTTAAAAAAATATAACTTTGATATGGTACGCTTTTCCTGGACACTCTGTATATCTCAAAATATTTTTAAAATGTAGCCGTAATCAACCTACACATACCCACCTAAACAGGTTTCTGTAACATTTGCCGTTTGGTCACTAGCGACCGAGGCGTTACTGGTGGCCCACCCTGTATATTATTGCAATTTTGGATTCTACGTGTTTTGTTAGGTGGACTTTTATGAAGTTTCCCTATTCCTAAAATTAACCGCTTTTGAGATATTTAATTTTTTTCAAAAAAATCGAGAGAAACAGTAACTAGCTTCGAACCATGTGTATTTTATAGTGAGAAAGATAAAGCAACAATATTTATAAGCTTCCCATCCATACTTTCAAAGTGGCTTAATTGCATACAGGGTGCTAGAAATTTAATGTCGAGTTTAGTTAACTTCAAACCTTCATAAGTCGTTTTTTTTTTTCACTTAAAATAACACGTAGAATCCAGAATTGCAATAATATATAGGGTGTTCCATTTAAAATAAGCAAGTTGATGGCGACATCCGGTATAACCGGAAGTGGTACGTGGACGCCATTATTCTACTTGAGAAGAGCATGCCCAAAAACCCGGTATCCCAAATTTTCAAAATTCAAATCGAAGTAGTCTCTGAAATAATTCTAATGGGCCGTCACCGAGACACCAAACAGCAGATAATAGCAGATAATAAATACAATACTAACGAATTAGCGTTCTTAAAAATTACTTGTAAAAAATTTAGGTAAGTTACAATGTTTTTTGGCCAAAACAAAAAACCTATAAATAATTTTGAGAATATTTCAAGATTCTGCTTTTAGCCCTTTACTGTTTAAAATTTATCCCAACCTCTCATGATCCATCTGCCGTGGTCCAACTCTTGAAAATCGTACCAGCTCCCACCATAAACGTCATTCCTCTGATCTTCCGGCTTCAGCCTGTTCTTCAGCACGACGTTGTTTACAATTTTTACGGACCTCAACGAAAAGTCATTCTCGTAAGTATCTTTCGGGCAAATATTTCCTAATACATGACCCACCAAATCCTCCAATTTGGTGAACCACATGGTGCAAGCCCTGCCGTTCTTCTCCTGCTCCTTCCAAAACGCCGAGCTCTTGCGCACCGGTGGCAGTTTCGCTACAACCTCCTTCTCTTCCTTGTCTTCCGTTCCTTCACCTTCTCCCTTTTTTTCACCTTCTTCTTTATCTTTCCCTTTCTCCTCTTCATCTTCGCCTCTGAGAAAATAAATGTCGTTGGCGCGTATGCACAAAAGCTAACAGATGCTTTTCAAGAAAGATAGTAGGTTTACAATAAACAGTTTTGGTGTAGTATTGTAGTACTTCAAAGGGGATCTTTCATGAACAAAAATGTTCTCGCACTGTCCCTGATGGTTTGTGACCCTCCAAACGGAAACATAGGAGTCATGTACACTAAAGTTTTTAAATGAGCCCATTAAAAAATCTATAGGATTTAAATCGGGTGTTCGAGGAGGCTAAAATTAAGGTTAACCACTGCCTGCATCTTCAAGAAGTACTGGAAGTACTTCTTCGAGAAAGTGTTCATTCAGTCATTATAAGATAAATCATTGTTGTTTACATTAAAAAAAAAACTTACCCCTCATCTTCACCCTCGAGCAGTCGCATGTGTAACTTCGACTTCGGTTTCTCATCCTGCTCTTTCACTTGTCCGGAGTCTCCGCCACCCTCTTCCCGTTTCGCATCCTCCTCGTCATCGTCAGTGTCTAACTCAGCGCCGAATTCTTTCTGTTCCGCCTCTTCCTCTTCACCTTCTTTACCTTCTTGCTCTCCTTGCGTTCCCTCTTCTTTCTCTTCTTGGTTCTTCGGAGGCTCGTAATCGCTCCAGTCTTCCGCGCCGATTACCTTACCGCCCTTGTCCCTCGGTTTGGGGTCGAAGTAGTAGAATGCCACGTCGTCCCTCCAAACGACGACGGTCAGCGGTTTCGATTCGATCATTGCTTCCTGGTTGAAATTGTCGTCGGTTTGTTCTTGCTCGAAGTGAGAGGTCAGTGCGTCTTTGAGGCTTTCTTTTATGTTTCCTGCGGTGCAAGATGATATTATGTTGGAAAATAATTAAATGCAGAGGCGTTATAAAGTATTATAAGCATAGGCAACCAATATTGCACGATTGGAACTGTCGATTAAAAATCCCCATCCATTAGCTGCATCGGTCGCAATGATTCTTTTACGATGAACAATGACGGTGTGTTGCGAGAAGAAAATAAAATTACTGTTTTCAACAAAATTACCGGTCACGTGACTTGTAATCATTTATGAGGTAGATGTTGTACACAAATAGTCTACGCGTTCTTTACTAACATAAAATTAATACAATATTTGAAATACTCTCCTTAAAAATGTGTCTCCTGAAATGTTCAACTTGATTGCTGCAATATGATTTTGGAATATGGACAATTTTTTTTATTTTGTTGCAACTATTCCGGTTACTCTATTTTAAATCTTTTAGTTTGACTATGATTACCTTCTGCAACGTTTTCAAACTCAACAGCCATCTTATTCAAACCAACATAAAATTCTTTGTTCACGTTAGTTGTATCCACCACCCCATCCTCTTCGGGAGATTTATCCGCAATTTCTTGGTCTTCTTCCGGCATCTCCCCTTCCGATGTCGCCGTGTTTTTCCCTTTTCCTTCACTCCCTTCCGTCCCTTCTGTCCCCGAAACCGCCATTTCTTCCTCTTCGCCTGCTTCCGCTCCACTCTTCAGCTCTTCCTTCAAGATATCGTTCATAATTTCCGTATAAAAGTCATCGCCCTTGTTCAGGATCTCGTCCATGTCTGCATTGGTCCATTCCTTGGACGGTTTCAGCTTGTTGAAGGCCAGGGCCATCAACTCCATGGGCACCGTCTGTTTCCTGCAGTTGATGTCGTATTTGGTGGAGATCTCGCTGTAGAGCGACCGCAGGATGGCGCTGCCGTCGCCGACTTTGGTGTAATTGTTCAACGGGGGTCGAATAACTCCATCTTGCACCTCGCAGAGCTTTACCTTCACCCAGCTGATGTTGTAGAAGTCTTCTTTGCCAGCGCTGAGGTTTATCTCTAAGGATCTAGCTAGTTCGTCCACGTCCTGGATTCTTAACGCGCAAGCAGTTCCGTAACCTACAAATAATAATATGCAGAGTTGAGTGTGATAAATCTTTTTCAGTCTGTAATTTCTCTTACTTGTAGCAAGTCCTTTGTCGTTTCTAGAGTGACTATCAAAACTGTAGTGTAAACCGTCTTTCTTCCAAACTGCTACGGAAATATTATGGGAAGTCACAACACCCAGATCGTTGTCTTCAAAGAACTGCACCAGGCCCTGCAATACTTCTAACAGTTGTATAGAGTGCAACAACGAAGCTACAACAAACTTTTAAGACTGATTCCTCTGGTCATAACAAACAGTAAAGGTTTTTTCTAAAGCGATTCCTAAGAGATTTACGATCCTTCAAAAATTGAACGTGATTAAAGTTTGATCACTTACTGAAAAACCATTGAAAATATTGATTTCTTCTTAGCTCATGTAAGAATTGAACAAAGGTATTGGAATTATGGATAGTAAGTAGTAGGTTTCCACAGTGAAATGAAAGTTATTTCATGTAGAGAATTCTCTTTCGTCGATTTAAATGAATGTGAAACGGTCTTTACGTGAGAGCGATAAAGTAAGTCATAGAAATCCCTGCGATAGAGAAAAATGGCTATAATGAAAGTGTCTAATAGTCACCGCCCATTTCGCCCTTCCACAAATAAGAAGTGGAACTTATTTGTGGAAGGGCGAAATGGGCGGTGACTATTAGACGCCTTCATTATAGCCATCTTTCTCTATCGCACGGATTTGTAAAGCTTTCTTTATCGCTCTCACGTAACGGCCCATGAACCATGGGGACTTTCCGACCCTGTATGCGCTAAGAGAATGGTATACTATTATTAAAGACCATCAGCTACATAGGTCTTTGTTTCATGCTTTTAGTTTTTTAATATTTGCTGGGTATCTGACAAGAGTACTTCGTTTTGTAGAGATGCGAATATTTAATTCAACTATAAGAAAACTATGTAATAAATATTTTTTTTTTCGTTTACTTTACTACGTTTACAAAATCATTTACTAAAGTGGCACATGTGTAAAAAATAGTTTACCTTCTCAAAAACATACGCTAGCATTACACTTTCATCAGTTCTTAGTGCGTTTTTTGTCCTTCCACTTACAAAATATTTCATATACCTTCTTGTATTTTTCCTTAGATTTTAAAGGAAGTAAGCTCGAAGATGATTCTCGAGCAATATTTAAAATGTTTTCAGAACAATTTTCTAAATTGTTTTCCTAGCAAGACCCATTTTTATAATTAATATATAACTTAGAATCAATTCGACTCACAAAAATGAAACTTAACTATTATTATATAGGGTGTCCCGTTCATGTTTCAAAAAGACTTGTGTGCAAGTTCCTTATGGGAAAATAGTAGGGGTAGTTCATGTAAAGTTTTTTCTTAAACGCCCTATTTTCGAGATACAGTGTATTGAAGTTGTTACTTTCCAAATAATAAACAGATTATGGTAATTAAGCATCTATTATTAACTAATTTTAGATTTTGTAGACTACTACACTACCATTACTATTCAACAATTGTTTAATGGACTGAATTGTTGATGGACATGAATGCTTAAAAAAGTGATAAAAACAGAAAAATATTAGGAAACAGACTCGGAGACATACAGAACAAAACAGCTGCACAATTAAATAAATGTGCAAACACGAAATACTACAATTAGTCCAAGCATTATAGAGAAATGCTTACAGAAATTATTACCTGGACAAAAAAAATATGTCCGTATAGAAAATTAAATTTTAAGTTGAGTTTCTTGTTCTTTAAACTCGATCCAATATGGCGAACATGGTTAAAAAAAATCGCAAAGTTGAAAAAAACGGTTTTTCTAAAATAACTAAAAAAATATAGCACGGATTGAAAAATTTTAAATGAGAAAGTTGTAGGTTTTAAAAAGATCTATCGACTGATTTTTTGAAAGTATCGATTGCTTTGTTACTTTTCGAGATATATCGAAAAAACCGTTAAAAATCTTCTCTTTTCTCTTCTTCTATAACTCGTTTACATTTACGTGCCCATATTTGCTATTTACTGCAAGCATAGCCCGCGGCAAGCCAAAAAAGTACATTTTTGAAAAATTTAAAAATATTAATTATTTTTCGAGATATATCGATTTTTTGAAAAAAAGGCGCTCTCGAAAATTGGCTAGATCTTCTCAGCGGATAGCCCTACAGTAACGATTTTCGGTTTATTTTCTTCGTAAAGAGTTATATTATCATGCTGTTAAAAAATGTTGACGATTTTATTAATTTTAAGGATCAAAAAATGACTGAAAAAGTTGCACTTTTTTTGGGTATGTTTTTTTCAAATAACTATTTCAATTTTTATTATTTTTTTGTACTTAATCTGGGGTAGCTAAACACGAATATTATAGCATTTTCGCCTTAGAAGCAAAATAGACCCGTAAATGTTTAGTTTTCTTTCTTTAAAAGTCATTTTCATAAAATAAAAATTGAAATAGTAATTTGAAAAAAACATACCCAAAAAAGTGCAACTTATTCAAAGTCATTTTTTGATCCTTAAAATTAATAAAATCGTCAACATTTTTTAACAGCATGATAATATAACTCTTTACGAAGAAAATAAACCGAAAATCGTTACTGTAGGGCTATCCGCTGAGAAGATCTAGCCAATTTTCGAGAGCGCCTTTTTTTCAAAAAATCGATATATCTCGAAAAATAATTAATATTTTTAAATTTTTCAAAAATGTACTTTTTTGGCTTGCCGCGGGCTATGCTTGCAGTAAATAGCAAATATGGGCACGTAAATGTAAACGAGTTATAGAAGAAGAGAAAAGAGAAGATTTTTAACGGTTTTTTCGATATATCTCGAAAAGTAACAAAGCAATCGATACTTTCAAAAAATCAGTCGATAGATCTTTTTAAAACCTACAACTTTCTCATTTAAAATTTTTCAATCAGTGCTATATTTTTTTAGTTATTTTAGAAAAACCGTTTTTTTCAACTTTGCGATTTTTTTTAACCATGTTCGCCATATTGGATCGAGTTTAAAGAACAAGAAACTCAATTTAAAATTTAATTTTCTATACGGTCATATTTTTTTTGTACAGGTAATAATTTCTGCAAATTTAACATTAATCCGTGACAGAATGCTTGGACTAAATATATATTGAAATTGTCTACTTAACGCACAGTTGATGTTTATTCGTGTAAAAATTTTGACATTTTTATCTTTAGCCGATTTAAAGATAATTAAGATTAAGGAAAACCATTTCGAAAGTAACAACTTCAACATACTGTATCTCGAATCTGTATCCCGTCTAAGAAAAAAACTTTACATGAACTACCCCTATTATTTTCCCATAAGGAACTTGCACACAAGTTTTTTTGAAACATGAACGGGACACCCTGTATAAATAAACAAAGCATTGTCAGGTTACTAGGTTACGGAAATACCACACAAGTACTTACTATATATTTTTTTAAATTTCTAATTTTGTAATGCTTTTATATCTATCACTATTTGCTTATAATTACCTTCTAACACAAAATGCGAAAAAATAATATAAACAAATCTCGTAAGAAAAGCAATTTTACCAAACGAATATAGCTTTTGAGTACGAGCGAGCGGAGCGAGCTAGTAACTTTAAAGCTACAATATATGAGTTTGCTTTTCTAAACTCGTTTAATGTACTATTCTTACCCTAGTCAGGCCCTTGACTGAAGGGTGATGTTTAGCGTTAATAAGTCCATTTATGCAGCATTCACCTATTTCGAAATTCGCTATTTTCCCTCGAACTTTGAGATCGGGATTAACTTCACTTATGGTCAGCAGTTTGCTGACGAATTTCTCGCTATTTTTTAAACGTTCTACGGATTCCTTATACAACTGGTCTCCAATCCCAAGGATCTAAAATAAAATATTTATTTTGGGAACATTGAAATATTATATGTTTATTGTTACTTCATCAACAATGTTTGCAGTCCAGTCCTTTTCCGGAACCAAATATTGGTATAATAACGCAGCAATAGACATAGCAGGGCCTTGGTAGTTGCGGGATTCTTTTGGAAATGTTTTGCTCGACTGAGTGATGGTCCCTCTTAGTATCCATTTTCCAGGAATTAGCCCTTAAAGAATCATTTAGCAATACTTTCTAGGTTAAGGTATTCAAAATATTATTTCACTTTGAAAAGTATTAAGTTAATTCAAAACTAAGTTTAAAAATTCTCCCACTGAATGGTCCGAGTCTGCATCCTTCTAATATATTTTAAGCATTTTTTCCAATTTTTTTATTAGCGCGTGATCTATTTGATTTAAGTCAGGGATGCACAGACTTATAGGGAACAGGGGCCATTCGGGAAAAATATAAGCCAAGGACGGGCCACTACAAACAATATTTATTAACACAAATTTTTTTATTTTTAAATAGTATGAAATACAATGATAAAAATAAAATAACCTTCAAAAATGTTTGTTGTAATAATTATGTAATCATTACAATGTAATATTTCATGTTTTATTATTTTGATGCATGACATTGCATTGAACTAACAAGTTTTTTTATATTTGGCTCCACATTACTTGTAGCCACACGTATAATTGCTTCCAAATTTTCATTTGCCAGACGGTTTCGGTTTTTCGTTTTGTTAAGTTTCATCACTGAAAACGTTTGTTCACAAATATACGTCGATCCAAATAAGCTTGCGCATTTCAATGCATTTATTCGCAACTCTTTATAAGCGTTTTTATCAACGCAACGGTAGAAGTTGAGTAAATTACCTTCATTAAATTTGTTTCTTAAATTATCATCATTTTGCATGTCTATTAATTCCAGCTGCATTAATTCCGGCGCATTTTCGGGTGAAATGTTGAAAGGATTGCTGAAAATGTCCAATAGCGGTTTAACTTTTTTGAAGTCTACAAAACGATTTTCAAAAGCTTGTATCAAAATATCAATTTTTTCAACATGAGCGAAATTGACGTCAGTTTTATTGAACTTCTCCATAATTTTTTTGTAGTTCGGAAAATGGCCGTAATTGGCTGAATTGATTTGTGTCCTGAAAAGACTCAATTTGCATTGAAAGGACGAAACATGAGAGTATAGCTGCGAAATCAATTGATCTTTGCCTTGGAGTCGCGTATTTAAGACATTCAAGTGATTTGTGATGTCTACAAGAAACGCTAAGTCACACAGCCAATCAGGGTTGTCGAGTTCGGGGACGTCGTTTTTCTTTTCCGCCAGAAATAGTTGGATTTCTTCAATCAAGTTAAGAAATCGCTGTAGTGTCAACCCACGACTTAGCCACCTTACTTCAGTGTAAAACAGGAGATCACCATATTCGCTTTCAATATCCTCGAGAAATTGTTTGAATTGTCGGTGATTGAGACCTCGTGATTTTATAAAGTTTACGGTAGGTACTACAACTTTCATAACATTTTCAAATCCCAATAATTTTGAACAGAGGGCCTCTTGATGTATAATACAATGAAACTGCATTAATTCCTTGGTATTTATGTTTTTAGTTTGTAAATATGTTTTTAACAGAGTTACTATCCCAGATGTACTTCCAACCATTGAAGGTGCTCCGTCAGTTGTAATTCCAGATATTTTCGTTAAATCCAAATCCATTATAGAACATTTTTCTAGAAGAGCTTTGAGCATGTCACTTCCCCTGGTTTGACTTGTCAAAGAACTCATACCAATCAGTTCTTCACTCACTTCAAAATTTTGCGTTACACCTCGTAAAAATATTAATAGTTGAGCAGTTGAACTTATATCTGTAGATTCGTCGAGCGCTATAGAAAAATACTCAAAACTTCTCGATTTCGTAGCTAATTGCTCTTCTATATTATCTGCTAATGCGGTAATTCTTCTTTGAACAGTCATCCGATTTAACTGAATTTTTTCAAACTTCTTTACATTTTCCGGACAAATTTTTTTTGCGGCGATATCCAAACATTGCTTAACAAACTCACCATCTTTAAAAGGCCGACAAGTTTTCGCTATTATTCGAGATATTTCAAAGCTAACTTCAGTGGCTGTTTCAGCATCTTGAATTGGTTTTGTAAACATAGATTGCTGGCCTATTAGTTCCCGTTGTAAAGTGGAAATTCTTTGCGTTCGATTTTCGCCAGTTAATTTGGTAAAAGTTGGATGCTGGGTTTCATAGTGCCTTTTCACATTATATTCCTTCGGAATAGAAACACTACTCTTGCATATTAAACAGACAATTTTGTTATGCGATGAAATAAAAAAGTATTTTTCGGTCCAAATATCATGAAACTGTCGATTTTCATCTTCAACCTTACGACTACGTTTCTTACTGGGGCCTGGTTTATCCATATCAAAATTAATATTATATGTTACAGTCGGTAAAAGCCAAGTTCGAACGACGAAATATTTACTCGTCACAGATTACAGTTCTCAAACAGTATAACGTTCGCTTATCCGTAGTCAAAACTTAACTGCCCCGGTAGCCGGCGATGCGTCGTATTTATACGAGTTACCAAACATCGAGAACCATCCACTTTGTTCGGGGATCGACGTGTTTCGCGAATCTGTAATCTAGTTGATGCGACAGATTTCTAGTCTCGTAATAATATGCTTGGACCGGAGCGCGGCGAGTAGAATGCTTCTAAAATTCGTTGGCGGGCCGCATGCGGCCCGCGGGCCGCGGTATGTGCATCCCTGATTTAAGTCGATGCCCCAAGTCTTAAAATCACCTTTTATGAACAAGATCTTATTCACCAAAATCGAAAATTACGTTGACCATAAAGTAAAGTATTCGGTTAAATTTTAGTCATTGGCTGTCCACTGTTTTACAATGACCAGCTGCAGGTTTGCACGATGAACTCATCACAAGCTCACAAGTAGCGAGACGCGTTGTAACTCTTTTGGTTGTTTCAGCGGGACGCAATCCGCCACGAGCTTGTTTTTACCTTTAAAGCCGTACCAAGACTCGGGGATTTCGAAATAATCGTCGATCTGAACGCTGCTTATGTAGAAAGGGTCAAACTTCTGTGGCTTGTTGACGTTGTTCAGGTACAACTCCACGAGATCCTGGAGGTTACAGAATTTGATCACACATGCCGTTCCTGGTGGAGGAGTCTTCACGTCGAGTTGCCCAGGTGCAGGTACACACTGGGTGATGGTTTTTCCATTCTTATCCCTGAAAAAAAAATAAATTGTAGGTACTTTCCCCATTGAAGGTGCTTAAACCGCTTCTAATCCTCGCGCCACTATGAAGGATTTTGTTCATATTTGTAATTGACCTTTAAGTGCTTATTACCGTTCATTGGGATCAAACCAGTAATAGAATCCATCCTCGACCCATACCGCCAAGGTAATGGGCCCCAAAACCACGCAGCACTCGTGGTCGATCAAGTAATTTTCTAACGCCGGAAGCAAGTCCAAAACGTCGTAATCTGGCGACTGCAGCTTGCCTACAATCACGTAATCTTGTATGAGCGGGGAGAAGAATTTCTTTTCGTATTCGGTTTTCCTCTGGAAATCGGAGAGCTTCAGGCTCTGCGTCCTGGGGATGCTGATCATCGCGTCCCTGTACAACAGGTCGCCGTACTTCAGGATGGTGTTGACCAGCCGAGGTACCCAGGTCCTGGATTTGCAGAATCTGAGCATGATCAGGGCGGATATCGCGTTGCCCATGCTTTGTCTGCCTTCGTATTTGGAGAATTTTGGATCTGTCTGGCACGTCGTGCCTTTTAGGATGAACACTCTTTCCGGTAAAACCTCTGCAAATAAAAAAATACTGCTTTATACAGGGTGTAACGGATGCTGATGGCCAAACTTCAGGGGGTTGTTATACAAGTAATTTTCAACAAAAAAGTAATGTAAGGTTTTTTTGGAAAGTTGATAGTTGCTCATTTATTTAACATTTTTTGATTTCAAAAAATTTTGTGCCTTTTTTCATAAAAACAAAAATATCTCTGTTATTCTTACAGCCACATCAAATTTGGACATACCATCGGAAAGAGCGTTAAATTTACTACTAACTACTATAACTCTTGAGGTAAGAAGGTCTTACCTCAAGAGATTCAATTCGAGTCAGGCCCGATATTTGAAAAAAAAACTAATTTACCCGGATTATTAATACACAATTCTATCTTGGCGTGCTGAAGAGTTTGGTGCATCGTATTCGTGGTATTCGGCTAAAATATCTCCCAGAAGGAAGTTGGCGTTTCTTTCACGAGCCATCTAATCGATCGACAGTTTGTTGTGATCAATTTTTTGAGTAAAAATCGCGTTTTAACTGTCAACCATTCCCTTTTACCTTTTCGGAAAAATGTATTTACCGATAAAAGGAAAATGTTTTGTGGACGCCATCCAAAAGGCTTGTACCGACATCCCGACCGACGATCTAAAACACCCATTCGAAATAAATGCTTTTAGACGATGGAAATCAATGTATCGAGCCGGAATAAATTAAGTCGGTTTTGTCAAAAAGACTGTTTGTTGTTATTATTTTTAAAAAGTCCTGTTTATTTTTTTAGATAGCATCTTGAACTTAAATAAAACCTTAATTAAAGAACCTTAAGAATTATTATTTTTCGACGTTCTGCGTAATACCTATAACTTTAAAGTTTACCCACCTACGTAAAAGCTGATCTTGTCGAGTTTAGGCTTGCACGGTATGGGAAACATGCATTCGTCGTTCTTGTTGATGGTGTCTTGGAGCCAGGATGGTCTCTTAGAAAGAGACAACTTCTCGGTGACGTCTGGCGAGATCTCTTCCACTTTGACTTTAAGGGAGCTGGTGTCTTCCTTGTTCTTCTCCATATAGGCCTTTATCCTTTCCTTCACTACGTCTATTGGCTTCACAGCTGTTTCAAAAAGGAAAGTAATTTAAATTGATTTTAAGTGTTAAAGTGTTTAACATTAATGATTATTTTCAATTGTCGCAAGTTTCATGGAATTGGTTATTTTATTCTAAAATCCACCGTGAATACTACCTTTTTAGACTTCACGTCAATATCCTTGGCAGGAAAATTGACCTCGGATGGGGCGTGGTCGAGCGGGACTATCGCTCTTCACCCACGATCCCTCTTAAACTTACTATTCCCTGATTTCTTGTTCCATTGCACTGAACTACTGTCAGTTAAATTCAAATGCTGCCATCTGGCAGTGAAGCTACGAAATTAATAACAGTAGCAGTGGTTACCTTCGGGATCAACTTCCGGTATTTCGGGTGCAGTCTCGGCTTCTTCTTTCTCCATGAATTCCTCAAACGTCTTGGGTGGCATAGTTTTTATATTCGTTATCCTGGAGACCGTACATTGGATTATTTCATATTTTGTGTGGGGTATCTTTGTGTTGACATTATTACAGATATCCTGCACCATATCGTCCATGGTTTTGGTCCGGAGCAGGACGGCGACTCCATCACCTGATTCGAAATAGTGTGTAAATAATAAATATTAGGAATTTCCTATGTTTTTCATGATGTAAATTGTCTTACTTTAACCTGCTCGTACTCTGTAAGGGTGTATTTTTTCGGTACAATTATTGAGAAACAAAAATTACATTGAGTATATACATGGTGTCCGGGAAAATGTGGGAAATCTCTCGGATACAGATAGAACATGAAAAAATAAGATGACAAGTTCCTATAAAATTATTTCGTACAGGCCCTCCCTATGAGATATTTGTCCCTGAAATCGATTTTTCTTGAATAACTTTTAAAGTACTTAATACAATTTAATAAAAATTTTATGCGATGGACACTAGTAAGGACCTCTTAAAATAATGTCCTTGAAACATATTTAGCTTTTTTAGTTTATTATGGGCGGGCTAAGCTTTACAACTAAATTTTTAACACCCTGAATTGATTAAGGTGTCAAAAAATAAAACCTAATCTTTATTTCATGAACCATAAAGAACTGTGGAAGCAGATAAAATATTATACACCACGCAGCTGTTAAGTATAATTTACCAGTCTCGGACTCTACTGCCAGCCCTCGCTCCGCTCGGGCGCAAAATTGTCCTCGAATGGTAGATAATACTTACCTTCTTTATATAGTACAGTCATTGAAACTTTTCTCCTCCGAATTCTTTGAAACTGAACCGATCGACTTGAAATTTGGCACATAGTTAGAGAAAAGGCCAATGAACATTAGTGACATACCCCTTCTCGGGGGTGAAATTTTTTTTTTTTTCAAAAATAACGGAAATCGTTATTCACGATTGAAAACTTGTAATTTTGAGTGGAAAAAAAATACTTTTTCAAGGTATTTTTCGCGAATAACTCAAAAACTACGCATTTTATTAAAAAAAGTGTAATGAACAAATATGTAGCTTATAAATAAACAAAGAAAATCGTTTTTTAAAAAGTGTTGTACGTCCTATACAAAGCCAACTATGGTTAGTGGAAGGGGACTTGTTTTGGCGGGAATACTCGAATCGATGTATTCAACGTCAAATAACGGAAAAAGGATTAATTTTACGTGTATAACGGAGTTTTTTGTAGTACTCAAAAAGACCTTCAAAATGAGCACTTATCAAAGTTAATTAGAGCAAAATTGAAGGAGTTATCTTCGAAAACATATGGGTTGCTCATATTTTTTAAGGACAAATGAGCAGTAAACGCTGTACCATTTCCATCAGAATTAAAATTAATCGTAGACCCTTTACAACTAGTTTTGTTTTAGTGTTTTTCATACGATCCTGAAGTTAGACCGGTTTAGAATTCGTATGTTTTTAATAATGTGCGCTAAAAGTTGAAAACGAATTTTTCATTATTCAAAAGAAATTGCCTTATTTATACAATAATTCTGAAACTATAAGATACGTAAAAAATTATAGACAACAAAAATGTAGCTTTTTTTTCAACAAATATTTTGCTTTTTTTTATTCCTATAGCATAAAAATAAAGGAGATAGCTCCGCTTGAAGTATCCATTTTAGTGAAAAAACGATCTGTCTTGAGCCCTTCGATCCTTTCCCTTTAAAAAACGAAGGACTTAAAAGGTTTTATATGCAAACGATCTTACAGCTCTTGAAATTATCTTTAAAATGCTTTTTTTAAGAGTGTTAATTAAAAATATTTGACATTTCTGTTAACTGTCAGACTAGTTCTTTTCCCCATGGCACACTGCAATTAATTTATTTTGCTATGTAATGAAAGTTGAATTTGGAGCACGTTGGGAATGATTGAAATCGATTTTACTGGAAAACGGCACATCCTAGTGAAATTTAACAAGAGGACCTTTTTCATGTTAAATACTTCAAATTTCAATATTTTTGAGTCAGGAACTAGAAAAAGTTGACTACAAAAAAGATATGATTAAATTTGTCCCTGGGTCCTGCATTTTCCCACACCCCTGTAACAAATTTTGAAATGTATTTTATGAGACTTATTATACACGTCAACGTTAATATCTCACCAAAATTTCGTGACTTAATGTCGAGTCGTTTGGATGTTACGCATTAAAAACTGTTTCCGAGGTTACCCATTTAGGAGAGCGTAGCTCCCTTAGGAGCCGCCACTGACAAAAATTGTACTAAAATTTTCGTCATTTTTCGACTTGTTTTACAAGCTCAGAAATTCTGAATACTTATTTCAGTTACACCTTGTATATTATATATTATATTCGATATACAAATAAAATAAGTAACAAAAATTAGTGTGTTTATTTATATGCTGCGTAGCAATTTTTTTATGATTATATTTAAAAATCGGAAATTTATATTTTAAATTATTGCACAATTATAGCATTCCAATATTTAAAACGTAATATTTTATAATTTTTTTAGCACAGGGGTGATATATAAGGGTTGAAAAGTGTTATGAAATATAAATTCTTTCATAAGCAAGGAGGGAATTTTTATTTTAAATAATTGCACCGTTAAAGCATTCCAAGCTTTTAAAAAGTAATTTTTTATCATCTTTGTCAATACAGGGGTGGTTTTTAGGGGTTGAAAGGGAAACATTAGTTTATTAGCTATAAGGTAACTTTTATTTTAAATAATTAATAGCACTATTTAATCTTTCCAAATCTTTAAAAAGTAATTTTTTATAATTATTTGCATAGGGGTAGTTTTTAAGGGTTAAATAAAGGGTCGAAAAGATCTAATATATCATAAAACATTTTCGAGAACATGGAACATTATTTAATCTTTGTGCTTGAACAAGATTTTGATCAATAAAATGCTTAGAATTAATTTTTTAAATTTTTTTCGCTTAGGGGTAGTTTTTACCCCTATAAAACAAAAAGTGTCAATCGGGCTTATGTCACTTTTGAACTTGAGGCTAAGATGAGCCTTTTTCTAAATTTTCAAGCAAATCCATGCAGTTTCAAAGAATGTGTAAATAACTATTTTCACACATAACATTATAAAAGTCAATTTTTTGTTCACTTATCAATGAATTAAAAATATAATTTTTAATGACAGTTTTACAAAAAATACTTTAAAGAAATTTAAAAAAGTTACCTGGCACTCCAGTCCACGCGCGCCCGTACTCGTCGTGATCGGTCGGATCGAACACGTAAAAAGCGTCGTCTTGCAGCCAAATAGCAAGGTACTTCTCCCTCAAAGCGAATATACCGGACGGATACTGCTTGAAGAACTCCGTCAAAGATTTCTTAAAGAGCTCCTTGACCTTTTGCTCGGTAACCGTGGGCAGAGTTTCCACAACCTTGGGCCCTACGTTTATATTGAGCAGGACCTTGGTCCTGTCTAGGTAGAAGGAGTTGAACACTTGCTCTGGCGGCACCAGAGTCAGACATCTCCCGGCCTCTTGTTGCGTGCTCTTCGTGTACAACTCGTCGCCTAGGTCGAGTATTTTGTCCAGACAGTAACACGTCCAGGTATGCATCTTGTAGATGTAGGCGAAGGTGCACGCCACTGCACAATTGCAGGCTCCTAGAAGAGTCAGTCGGTAGTAATTATTGGTGGTAGTAGACGACCATAAATAATTAGAGAGCGGACAATGTGTGACTTTAACCCGAAGAATAGGTCAAATTTTGGTAGAGATGTGTACGCGTTCAAAAATGTATTGTGTATAAACTATGCAAAATATAATTATTATGTATAGCAAATATATCACATTATCCACGCGAATATTTGTACCCTTTATTTAAAATCCATAAATCATGTGAACAGGTTAAATAACGAGAAGATAATTATGTTAATTTAGTTCTAAAGAAATGAAATGACACTCGCGCCCATCTCTAGTCCATCCGTCGACATCGGTTGCGTTTATCGAATTCCTATTGGTCAGAATTCAAACTGCAGCCCTGTTATGAATGGAGCGTGAGTTGGACTATTCTATCATGTGCGTCGCCTGAGGATATTCGTTACATTGGCTCCTAATTTCCAATTAAAAGAACGACACTATTTTTAACCGAACTTTATTTAATAAATATGTAGTATACAATTTCAGATTTTCTAAATATTTTATAACGCCTAAAAATGTATGTACCGTGGAATTTTCGTGAATTATCACGTAAATTTCCGATGCATACCCGACACGCCACTGCGTCATGGGTAATGTATCTAGGTTTATGAATGACATATCTATGTTCAAGGTTAAAGTCACAAATTGTCCGCTCTCTGTAAATAATTCGAATAATAACATAAACCCAGAAAAAAATGAATGAGCTGGGCCCTAAACCAGAGCAGTGTATCCGTTAGCATTTTAGAATACCCAAAATTCCAGGATCAGTGCGTGTTTTGAACTTAATGTAAAGAAAATCCCCTCGAAAGCAGTTTTCGAGATTTCAAATCGGTTTGATTAATCACTGACTGGAAAAACTTTGAAATTTTTAGCAAAAATATTACTATATTCTACAAATATTCTTCTGATTTACATACAGGGTGTCCGCAAATTCCATCTATACCGTTTGACTGGAATTAGAGGGTGGAAATTGGAGATAGGGCTGAAAATGCACCTCTTTCAGTTTTTTAATTGTAGCTCGAATTGTAGAGAATTAAATTTTCCATCGAAATAGCTTATTTAAAAAATTAAAAAAAAAATTTATGCAAAAAATCGTTAATAAACAATTTTTAAAAAATAAGATTTTTTCACTTTTTTTACTTTTTTGACTCTTAAGTTGTGAAAATCTTTATTTATTATTAACAAATAAAACTTGAAATAATTTTTTATTAAGTAAAGAACCATTTTGTTGTAAAAATAATAAGAATTGTAATCATTATGTTAAAAACGACGAAAATCTAGTTTCTTTTTGTACAGCAATTTGCCTACTTCTACTAATAAAATAATCAAAAAAGTAAAAAAATTCAAAAAATCTTATTTTTAAAATGACCATTTGAACGATTCATGTAATAAAATAGCCTAATTATTATTATCGAGAAATGAAAATCGAAAGATATTCAAGAAAAACGCAACCAAAAATTTTTGGACACTTCAAATGAATCGTTATCACTCTTTTTTACCATGAAAAAAATAAACCCTGATCCGTTTCTCTACGACTATTCATCGAGCAAGAAGAGCCGATTACCGAAATGACCTTTTTTTCGAAAAATTGATATAACTCGAAAATTTTTTAATGTTTTAATTTAAAAAAGGCACTCTTTTGCTTTCCGAGGGCTACATTTACAGCAAGTAACAAGTTTCAAAACCTTCATTTGCAAGAGATACTACAAAAACAAAAAAGGCGATTTTTGACGGTTTTTTTCGATATATCTCGAAAAGTAATACAGCAATCGGTATATTTAAAAACACGAATCGATAGGTTTTTTTCGTAGCTACAACTTTCTCATTTAACTTTTTTCGATTGGTTCGAGTTTTTTTTTTATTAGCGAAAATCCGTTTCTTTTTAACTTTTATGAATTTTTTAGGTTAACTTTATGCGCCACATGAAAAAACACTATCAGAATTTTTTTCCTATATCACCATATTTTTTGTTCCAGGTGGTATTTTTTTGTAAGCTCTTCTACCTGTTGATTGGACTAGTAAAGATAAATTGGACATTTAGGCAGATAAAGAAAACTTTGGAGAGAAAACCTAAAAAAATCATTTTCACCGCATTCTTGCTGATACTATCGTCAATAATCCCAGAACCTATACCTTGATATCCATTGGTTTTAAAACTGTATTTCTTGTATGTCTGGCTGTAATGCCCCGTCAAGACCGCAGTATTTCCGTAGACATTGAACTGGTTCCACACTTTCTTCAAACTGGAAATTGCCAGTTTCTGAGTTACACCTGCCGGCTTTGTGTAGGGATGAGGCGGCCTTTTTTTCTTTGCTCTCTGATCGGGAGGTATCCATTTCTTCGTGGGCACTGGAGGATACTCTATCACCGGTTTGGGCTTCATTTTAGGTTTCTTTCTCTTTTTTATTCTAAACAGAATAACGAGAACACAAATTAAAGATGTCCGTTGGGTTATCATTGTATACTTACGCCATTTTGTAGTTTTATTTGATAAAATTCGACCGTAAATTTTGACGAGGGTTTCAAAATAATGAAATTAGACAGATTTGTTTTGTTTTATTGTGACACTGAGTTTCACGTCAACGCAAAATCTACTTAGTGACAATTCAGAGTAATTAGTTTTGAAAATTTTACGTGTTTTGGAAAATGGCAAGCGCAAGGTAAGTGTATACCTAGTATGTTTCTTCAACAGTTTTCTCAAATGAAGAAATTTTAGTTCTGACGACTTCAACATTCCCTTGCCCAAGAATAGGCCCAAACTTATCGTCGAACCAACTAATGAGCCGCCTCTTGATCCTGTGAAAGAGCGTAAGAAGAAAGATGTACCATCTAAGAAGAAAAAGAAAGCCCTGCCGGAAAAGGAAAGCATAGTCAGCGCTCTGCAGCCCGCAACGGAGTAAGATATAGGGAAATAATTAGTTCTGTTCGTTTTATAGGCTATTGATTATATCCAAAAAAAAACAGTGTGAAAAGGTAGGTACTATGACGTTCAAGCAATTTTATTACATGAATCATTCAAAGGGTCATTTTAGATGAAAAAAACCGCGGAGTGCTATTAAATTAGAGGGTGGAAATTGGAGATAGGGCTGAAAATGCACCCCTTTCATTTTTTTAATTGCAGCTCGAAAATGAAACAAAATTTCCCTATAGTTCATAGGAAAAATTATTTAGAAAATTGAATTTCCCATCGAAATGGCTTATTTAAAAAAATGTTAAGGAAAATTTTATGCAATAAATCTATGGGTGCTTCGAGTTCATCCAAAGAAAAACGTAACGTGTAACAATATAACTTTATTGAGAGCTTCGTTACAGGACAGCTAGACCGATCGGGAACAAGACCATACTAATAATGTCGTTTCTTTGCCTGATCTAAGATAAATTTTGCCCTCTCGGTCGTGTACGTACTTCTAACCCTGGTAAAACCCCCACATCTGGTCCACTGTCTAATAAACAAGTTAGGTACCTTAAGCTCTATCATTTATGATGCACTTATTCCTAATCTCATTTACTCTAAATATAGCTTAATATAATGTGATATTAATTATAAAAACAAATTTATTTGCTAACTGAATATAAAAATGTAATTGTAACATGCCGCCACAAATTGTTAATAAACAAATTGAAAAAAAGCAAAAAATTCGAATTTTTTATTTTTTTTTTACTTTTTTGACTCTTTTTTAGTAGAATTAAGCAAGGAAAATTGCTGTACAAAAAAACTACATGAGATTCCCTTCAAAATGATGCGTTTTCAAAAGTTTTTGGACTAATATTGACTGTGTTATAACCGGTCAAACGTAAATATTTTTTAGATTTTCGTCGTTTTTAACATAATAATGATTATAATTCTTATTATTTTTACAACAAATTGGTTCTTTACTTAATAAAAAATTATTTCAAAAGTTTTATTTGTTAAAAATAATTAAAGATTTTCACAACTCAAAAGTAAATAAAATCAAGAAATCTAATTTTTTGCTTTTTTAAAATTATTTATTAACGATTTTTTTGCATAAAATTTTTCTTTTAAATTTTTTAAATAAGCCATTTCGATGGGAAATTCAATTCTCTACAAAATTTTTCCTATGAACTATAACGAAATTTTGCTTCGTTTTCGAGCTACAATTAAAAAACTGAAAGGGGTTCATTTTCACCCCTATCTCCAATTTCCACCCTCTAATTTAATAACACTCAGCGTTTTTTTTTTTTCATCTAAAAGGACCATTGGAATAATGTAATAAAATATCTTGAAGGTCATAGTTCCTTTTAAAATCCTATAATCAATAGCCTATTAAGAGAATATATCGAGATGTTTCTTTTAATATTCCGCTATCCCACCTTAGAAAGCGAATAGATTTAAAATCAGCCGATGAAGTAAAGCCTGAAGAGGGCCAACCTAGAAAAAAGTACGTCGTACCACGAACCAAGAAACAGCAGAAGGCCTTTGAGAAGAATAGGGCTAATACCGCCAAGAAATTCCCCAAGTACGCCCAATCAAATATGCCCGAGGTTTCAACGAAGAAAAAAATAGATATAAAAGTAAGTCTATGGAGAAAACATTGGGCATGAAAATCAGTAAATACTTATAAGTAGGTATAAATTAAAACTTAAAAGCAAAAGAGAATAATCCATTTCATAGCCATAATCTTTTACTGGTACTAATGGGCGGGCCAAAATTCACGGAAGAAGTAATTTTGATAGAAATAGAAAATAAGTAATAATACAACAAAATTATTTGAATAAATAAAATATGTCTAAATTCACAAAAACATGTATAGGATTTTTTGTTCAAAATTCTACTCTAAATACATCGCAAGCATGAAAAATAAAAAAATCGTTAGCATAAAGTCAATATTATTTTGTAAAAGATAAAATTAAATTTAAAAAAGTAATAATACGGGCTAAGAATCAAATTAAATTTCCAAAATTGACGTAGAAATTTTTGGGGTTTTCAGTGGCACACCTCCCTGCTAATGGTTGACATCGTTGTTTATAGTCTTTCCGAATCGGTTGAAAATGTATAAAAACGCCTAGCAATAAAATTTAATGAGTTTCATAGGCGTCCCAAAAAAAGTTTTCTACTTAAGGTAAAAAATAATAATTTATAAATAATGTGAAGAAAATTTTTATTATATGTTCATTTGGCAACACAACATATTTTAATTATTGATTGTAAATTTTGGGTATGACGTATCAAAAAAATTTACATTTTCATTAAAACATATTATTGCTCGGCAAGAACCAACGGGAAGAATATATCCTCGCCAGGAAAGGATGAGGAAAGGTTAGAAAAGTTATTAAATAAAAATAATCAACAATAAAATAATTCCGCATTGCTGCACTGCACTACTAGGTAATTTGTGAACAACTGAAATTTATAGCCGGCTGCCCAGTGCGACTGTGTTTGTGTGCCGTTTGCCCGCGCGCGGATTCTTCAACTGGGCGTATACATTTCTACCACCTCCAAGTTTAGTTCGACCAGACCTGTATATGCGTATGGTTAAATAAACATGGAAACAAGTTTTTCAAATATTTCAATATCGAGTTGCTGCGTAGTGACCGAATCTGGTACATACTGCCTGGCTCTTTGGTTTTTAATTGAGATCGGAAAGACTATACCGGTGCAGCGTACCTCTAATTAGTCATATACAGGGTGTTCCACTTAAGAGGGATTCTTCTGTAACTCTGTAACTGTAAAATTGATAAAAAATTGGTTTTAATAAAAGTGTGAAATCACGCCCACGCGAAATGAAACACCCTGTAAAGCTAAAAATATTTTCTTTACATGACCCACACGGCAACAGGCAACTTTTATTAAAACCAAGTTACAGAGTTACAGAAGAATGCCTCTTAGGTGGAATATTTTGTATGAAAATATCTAACTTTCAACATCCTGTATCTCGAAAACCAGTGGCTCTAGACTTTTGGTTGATTGAGACTTTTTGGTTTAAAGTCGAAGAAATACGTTTCCGAAGATACGACTTAAGAACTTAAAAAAGAAAAGTTTTCACTGTACAATAAATAAATACTCTGAATATCTCCAATTTATATTTATGCATATGGGCCACTGTGTATCTATTGTGAAAGTATTTTCACCGTTTATTACCCCAAAAGCAGATTTCGAACTTACCTGATGAGTGTCGGCATTGTATAAGTATTTACTTATACAATGGTGTCGGTTACCTCGAAATTTTAATGTCACAACTACTTTTCCGATTCCAGTTAGAAGTTTCCTCGCCTGTAGTGAGCGACACCAAGGTCGCTCCACGCAGAACTACCCCTTCCCCCAGTTTTTTATATCCACCACCTCAAGATGCAAGCCAGCTGGAACTTCACAAACCGAAAAGCGGAATATTCGTTAATGAATCGGAAAAACCAGACGGCGACAGAGACTATGACAGTTTCGATTTAGTCTACTCCAGAAGCCCCAGATCGTGAGAATCCGTTTATTGCTTTCTTTTGTGAGAGTTATGTGGCAAAATATAAAAAAAAATAGTAACAAACAAAATTGTAAAAGATTTTAAAATGCCTATAGGGGCAAAAGTAAGTTACTGCTCAATATTTGGAATAAAATCCCTGAAAACAAACAAAATACAGGGTGATTCAGTCATAATGTCATTAATTTTAAGAGCAGATAGAGAAAAATAAGTATAATACGATGGCGTGATTAAAAAAAAATTAAATGCATATTTAAGCTGAAAAAAATATTTTCAAATCATTATTTATTACTGACCGGCTGACGTCAGCCGGCTACGATATGAACAAAGCGTACAAGATGCAATGTTGCCATATATATATTTTTTCGCTCATATAAAGACAATAAATAAACGGTTTGCTCACGTCAGTCAATAATGATTGAAAATGCCATAAATTATTTTTTTATAATTATGCAATCAACATATTAAATTGTTATTGTTGCCCAGCAAGAACCTCGAGGAGGTCTGAGAATGACTTGCCAAAAATCATTTTTTATTAACATCATAGTGATAATTTTTTAATTTGCTGTAAGCCTTCTACTAAAAATTGAAAGTAACGCGGCCCATTCAGATGTTCAGGTAGAAAATACGGCCCAATTAAACGATCGCCATATACTCCATACATTGACACCGAATTTCCTCTGAAAGCTAAACTGACGAGTAGTGTGCGGGTTTTCATCTGACCAAATGTGACTATTATGGCTGCAAAGAAATTAGCTCTGTTTCACTTTAAATAAAATTTAATATTGAAGATACAAAACCCCAATAGTTCAAATAATTTAAATTTCGTAACCATTTCAATTTCATTACAGAAATAATGACATAAAAAACCAACACTCACTAAATACACTATAAAGAGAGGGGTGAAATGAATGTAGTATTTAAATACTGACTGTAAATAATAGATGATAAAAATACAATCGGACGGAGACATATAAACAACTCGGTACGTGTTTCCGACCTAGGCTAACCTGTGTCGGGGTCAATAACCTTCTAATTTGTACGTGTATTTTAATCTAGGAGCCAGACAGGGTTCCGTTGCTAACCAGAGTGCCACGGCTGCAAACAACTTATTCTAAAGTATTTTGACCTCCTGAACCCAAAAAACTTGGTCGCAAAGTCTGAAAGTGGTCAGTTTAATTGTTATCAATAAATTAAATGTTTAAATGGCTGTAAAAAGTTTATTTTTATAGCTAGTACACGGAACTTGATCTGGCTCCTAGACAGATACGAACTGTATAGGATCGTATTCCATGCAAAGTAGAGCAAAAGGAAAATCGTGTCATCAAATTGAATAGGGATGATTGTTTTCGAATGTACGGTTATTACAATTTATCATTTTTAATATTACTAACGTTTTCACGTTTTATAATTTATTATGTTAAGTAATACACCGTTTTAGTATTTCAATTTATTATTTAATATGCAGTTGCATATAACCAAATTTACATAATAATTGTAAACTTTAGTGTAAATCTAAACTTTGGTATAACCTAGGTAAGCACTTATTGTTTTTGAGAAAGCAATACTTATGTTTTTTATCTGTTTAAAATGCCACCACGAGTAAAACAGCTTTCATCCGTCCAGAGCACTTTGTTAATAAAGTTCTGCTGCACTTAGGAACCAATTGCAAAATTCAAGACGATTGGGGAAATCAGCTGCTTCTAAAGCTTGAACTTTTTGAAAATGTGTTATGTTAACTTCTTTGCGGGAAAAATGCGGGAGATATGGAGGGTGGTAGATTTGAATAAACGCTTTAAATTGTTAGGTAATGGTTTTGTAATCGTGTGTAGTGTATTTTGTATATTCGGGTATTTAGTTTGCCGATTTTTTTATTTGATAAAATACAGTGTGCCTACAAACCTCTGCTTTATTTATTTTCTTTTAACGAAAGATGACTTCGAGAAGTCAGGCTTGTTAAAACATTTTGCACTAAGTTAATACAATTATTAAAATTAGTTATGATAAAATGCAGCATGATCCTTTATTTACTTGCATTTTATTAAGCGGATTAATTAAATGTGAACCACAGATTATGATGTGAACTTGTCAACGCTGTTCGCCTCAGCTGACGATTTGTTCGTGACATTACGTTACAAAATTTTCCGAGTATCCGGGCATCTGGCAGGGTAGCCCTCTCAGCGGGAGTTATGAGTTTATTTCCTTCATTTTTAAAAGTCGAGTAAATTTTTTTTTTCCGATTTTCTATCTTTATTAAGCCTTCCGAATGCGTGGTTAAAATTAATGATATTATGACTGAATTACCCTGTATATTTTTTTCACAATTTATATGAAGGCACAGTCCGTTTGCTACTAGTATTTTTGTCACAAAATCACTGATTTAATGCTCTATTGATTGGCCTATTACTTGAATCATGACAGAGAGAGACCGGAGGAACGACGCAGGAGGAAGAGAAAACAGAAAGGTAAAACATTAGAAAATATACAGGAGGAACCCGCAGGCACAGTTAAGAAAGTAAAGAAACAAGAGGCAAATAAGAAAGAGCCGGAATCGACGCAAGAGAGAGGTTTGGTCTTGTTATTTCTTTTGAATATTTTTTTAAATTATCTGTCTTTATTGTTAATTTTTGTACATTACTATACTTCCAGTGTATAGCAAACTAATTTTTAAAAAATCTGAATTATCATAGTTACGTAAGTTTTGCGTTGTTGGGGAGGCCTCAACTACACTGTAAAAAAATCGGTCTGAGTGAAAGCAATAAAGGTTCGGAGTGAATCCACTGAGTGAAATTATTGAGCACATTTTCACTCAATATTGGGCATTTTGATCATTTTACTCATTTGTGATTCTATTTAAACTAAAACTGAGTACTTTCACTCAAATATAGGCACTCCTTAAATAAATTCTTCACGTAAACTCGTATTTGGTGTACTTGTACCAAAATCAGAGTAAATGTCCTCATTACCGAGTGAGTTTAAATGTATATTGATTTCGAGTAATTCGAATGGCGCCTTGAAGATGGCACCACTTACATATTGCTTCTGTAATCTCGACCGCAGTTGATAGGGGCCCATTAGATGCTCCAGAAAAGCGTGATCGCCAGGAGAGCAGGGCTTAGCCGGCGGCGGCGGGTCTCAGCTGGCGGGTCTCATCCAGGACAGGAGGAGACTACGCGAAGAGAATTAATTTCAACACTGTATATCCTAATCATTTATGAGTGATTTATTTTTGCACTCAATATGTAGTTAATTAAAAACCAAATCTGAGTAAAAATGACTCAATAATAGTTAAATTTAAATCATAGAGAAAAAGTCAGCTCTAAATTGGTTTTATATACTCAGAATAGAGTCGAAAGTCGCTCAATTGATAGTTAGTAGTAACTCGGATTTGAGTTAAACTCGCTCATTTCTAATGCAATAGTTTCACTCAGTTGTACTCATACTAATAGAGTGAAAATTTGACTCAATCGGATGTGGAGAGAAATTGATACATTATTGAGTAAAATTGTGTGAAGTTTGAGTAAAATTTTTTTACAGTGTAAGCTCAGTGGACTCGAAGGTGGGATCAGATTGTGCATAAAAATTTTTTATTAGGATTATTCGATTACATTTTATTGAATAAATAAGGGCGCCAAGTGATTTTCTAAACAACCCATATTCCACAAATTTGTTAAAATACTAAACCGCTGGATAAAAACTATAGAGTGCGAAAACAAAATAGAGCGAATGACTCTCAGGAAATTTATTTTTCTGAAATGCTCCGAGATAGGTCGATTTTTTATCGAAAGGGGACATCTTTTCACACAAATTTCTTGTTACAGACTCTACCCCGTTTTTTATAGACCACAGCTAAAATTATCGTCCAATGTCAGTCATTATGCCAGAGTGACATTTCCTTTCGTAATAAATTAAAATAATAAATACTATCTTTTCTGGGAAAATAATTTTTCCCAGTTATTCGCTAGGTTTTCTTTTTGTTGGGACACCCTGTATATTTTAAAAATTCGTATTATTTTCACAATAATATTTGTTATTGGTGGTATAGCCAATGTAAATGAAAAGTCTTAATAATCACTATGGTCTATTGGTAGAGTATATTTAATTGATTTATGGTGTTACATTTTTTTTGCTTAAAAGAAAACTTAAACATGTAGTAAGCAAACATTAACTCAGCATTAAGCAAGATAAATGGTCAACTTCTACAACAATCTAAATCCATGTAAATATAAGTACGTGTTATTTTCTGGGCTAGAAACACAAGAACTGTTACTCATGATGGAGGAATTGGCAAATGACCCAGGAGAAGACATGGACACCTACCTGACCAAACAGTTCAGGAGAAAAGTCTCGCAGGTACTGCAAAACATCTTCTTTCTTTCATTATTTAACTAAAATGCACCTCTTCGAAGATATCCAAAGCGACGTCCTACCAGAGCAAAGATATTCAAACGATCGAGTCGAAGGATCTCTTCGAAGAACCAGCGGTGAGCAAATACGTTCAAAAATTTCGAAGGGATTCGGAAGCGAAGCGTTTCGAGCCTGTCAAACGCAAATTCAAAAGGGGGACGTTAGAGAGTCATTCCTTCACGAAGTTGCACCAGCCGACTTTGAAAGACTTTTTCTTCGGATCGAAAGAGGGTACCATGCACCAAGGTAGATTTGGAATAGCATAATTTTGAAGATAATAGCAAATTTATTTGATTGGTAATTATCTGGATTGGTAGGCAACGAAAATTTCCCACCATCAGTGAGGAACAACCAGGGGATATGCATGCCAGTTGCTGCTTATTGTTATTCAGTTTTGAAGCATCCCAATAAATGGACCTCGGAGAATATTGATGAAATCTTAGAAGCAGGAAATAACCTGATGACGCAGAGTATAAAGAAGGCACATAAGCATTATGGTACGAAAGATCTAAAGCCTGAACATTTACAGAAGTACTGCATAATAGGTAAGGATTAAATTTTAATCAGCAGGTTGCTAAGAAATATTAGAAATGATGATGGAAACTACTTTTTATGTCTATAGAAGGAAACTTTACGGTATTCCGGAATTGATCTAAAATTCATATAGCACACCTTGTACCTAAACTTAACCGTTTTCGAGATATCGAACTTTGAAAATCATTTTCTTATAAATTATACAAGAATATTTGTCAATTAGTTCTAAGGTCACCTGTGGGGCTTGAATTGAGTCAAATGAAATGACCTTGACTTGATTTCCAGGTGACCTTATAGGGCTAAGCTATCCGCGGATTCAGGTTCAGCGACCTCAAAAACATACATACTTAACATTCGTGAAAGGCCTTTTCTTTACTTTGACCTTGAAATGATCTTGACTTGACCTAAATGTGACCTTGTTGGGCTAAGCTATTCCCAAATTCAATTCCCCCCCAAATAAACTTATATACGCACTGGTTGAAACTCAATACAAACTTTTTCTTTAGTTTCATCTTGAAATAACCTTGAATTGGCTTGAAGGTGACATTTAGGGTTACGCTATCTCCAGATTCAGATTATGTGTGCCCAAAAAACCTATACACTCACTGGTCAAAATTCAATGCAAGTCTTTTCTTCAGTTTGACCTTTACCTCACCTCCAGGTGACCTTAGATAGCTATAATGAGCGGATCATAATTTTTTTTTAATACTCGTCTTTCCGAGTACTTTCAAACCATATTTTAAAATTAAAAAAAAAATGGAAAAAAACATTAAATTATTGCAATTATTTATAAGCGTTTTGTGAAAATGTTTAAACAATCACCACGGCTCACCTAAGCGTCAGATTTGAATTTTTCAAAAACCAATTTAAAGCTTGAGAGCTCTTCTTTTTGTGGTGAAATTTTCAAGTATTCAAAGGCTTTAGATTTTTAGAAATCTGATTTTGAAAATTTTTTAATTAACAAAAAATAATAAATTTAAACAATTATTATGTAAAAATTATCTAACCGAATTGGATCAAATTTGGTATGATGATTCTATGCACTAAGAAGTTTAATTGGGGAAAGTATGAAGATCCTAGGTATTATTCAAGTGTCTGAAAAAAACTGACAAATAAACTAGCATTTTTGCAATTTTTTAAATGATTTTTCCGATTTTTGCAATAACAATAATTATTTTTTCGAATTGCAACTAACTCTATATTGATCAAAATTTAATTACAAAACTTTTGTCCCCCCTCCATTTTTGTCTAAAATGAATAGTTGCTAAGTTGTCGACGAGAAATCCAAGAAAAAAAATGAATTTTTTTGCTATTTTATTATACTTTTTTGCAATAACAATTAAGCCCATGTTTATTTTTTATTTGCATAGAAATATTATGATTTCTGATGATATTTAGAAGCCCTTAAAGCAAAAATCTCCGATCATATGCGTTTTACCCAACCCGAAACAGATACCGCCTGGACTACTGAATTTATTGTTACACATTTTATTTAGCAATCAATAGAAAATGGTAAATAGCAAAGTAGGTACTTAAGTATCTTCTTATTTGATTTCCCAATTATCTAAAGACCAGTAAATCTTACGAATACTTTATTGCCGCAAATTGATAGTACATTTTAAAAACATTTAAAATTATTTAAAAAACCAGTGGCGTACGATATTTTTTTCAAAAAAGGTCCCCTACTCCCCCAATAACTACGCCACTGGAGTGTATTATAAGGAATAAGTTATCCATGAAAAAATAGTCCCTACTAAAAAAATGTCATCCCCCAAATTTTACCACTCAATCTTTTATGCCAGTGAAGTTACAGAAAAATAATATAAATATTCGAAACTTTTAACACCCTGTATCTCCGTAGGGAAGCGACCTATCAAAAATTTTTATAGAGCAATACTGGATTAATTTCATCGGTAGAATACGCCATTAAAACTTGGCCAAACTTATCCTTAACACCCTGTATATTATTTCGACTTGAGCATTATTAGTGTCGTTCAGAATTTCACAAAAATCAAAATTTCGTACCCTCAGGCGACAAGAAGATCCGCTTCATAGTGGACGAACCCGAAGTATCCGGATTCATCCGCTCCGACGACAAAAGGGTGTTCAACTTATCCAAAGGTCTGAACATCTTCTTCGCCAGACAATCGGCCGGGATACTGAAAACGCAAGAGATGAACATAGGCATATGGAAGGACAAATACTTTTACATGTTCGACGCGAGGCCCAGGACTAGAGACTTGTTCTATTCCCCAAACGGAACGGCCATGATGGCCAACTTCTACGACGTGGCGTCGCTGGCCACGGTTTTCCTGACGAGGTCCAATTTCGGGAACTGGCCCTTCCTGATTTACCCTGTGAAGGTGATTAAAGTGCTGAAAAAAGACGACCTCGAAGCTGAGTCTCAGGTCGAGCCGGATGTTAGAAGTAATTTCAACATTATAAACGAGAACAAGGCTGTGGTTTTGGCGTCGTTTGATCTGGCGGACAAATGCTTTGACTTCTCCAGGAACAAGCAGTCGCTAGCTATGGCAGCGGTGTGTTTGGTAAGTGAAGATACAACGTTTAACAACGACCAATAAAATCTGAAGCATATAATAATAAACAAAAAATATCCAATACAAATGGTGTAGATCATGCAAAAATCTACAACCTTTGTAGAGGTAACTTTTTAAGCTAACTTAAAAATTTCCGAGAAACATGCGAAAAACCGTTTTCTTTCTTATTTTTCGTTTTTTATTTCTCATTTTCGCAAAAATAGCCCAGTCATTATAGACATGAAAGAGCCTGTTTCGGGAAAAAAATACTATTAGAAGTTTCTGTGCGGAATATTGTTCGGAAACCTGTTATAAATAAAATATCAAAAAATCAACTCGAGGCTAGTTGGGAAACTTTGTTTTAACAGTGGTCAAAGTTATGGAAAAGTGGTTTTTTGACTCACGTAAAAAAGCTATTATTCATAGCGAAAAAAAGTTTATACAAAAAAGGTAGGTATTAAATAAGCCTATAAAATGAAAAAAGTCCGATTAAATTCCGATAATTTGTTTATGCACAAGAGCTCAAAAATGGTCGAATATTGCCGTTTTTTTCAATTGCTAATAATTAATGCAATTTTCATCG